AGTTGGGTGAATTCGGTTCAAAGAGGTGGCCTGCCCTTAGGCAGGCAAGCAAGCAGGCAGACAGATAGACAGATAGACAGATAGACAGATAGACACAGACACGCAGACATGCAGACACACAGGCATGCAGACACACAGACACACAGACGCGCAGACATGCCGACACGCAGAAAGGCAGACACAGACACGCAGACGCGCACACATGTAGACACGCAGACGCGCAGACATGCAGACACACAGACACACAGACACGCAGACGCGCAGACATGCAGACACACACACGCAGACACGCAGACACATACACACACACACAGACACGCACAGACACGCAGACGCGCGCACACACAGACACGCACCAAGACATGCAGACACACAGACACGCAGACACCCAGACACGCAGACACGCGACATGCAGAAACACAGGCACACAGACGCGCAGACACCAGACACCGAGACACGCAGACACGCACACACACACACACAGACACGCAGACGCGCAGACATGCAGACACACACCCACAGACACGCAGACACACACACACACACAGACACGCACAGACACGCAGACGCGCGCGCGCACACAGACACGCACCAAGACATGCAGAGACACAGGCAAGCAGACGCGCAGACACCCAGACACGCAGACATGCAGACACGCAGACATGCAGAAACACAGACACGCAGACGCGCAGACACCAGACACGCAGACACCCAGACACGCAGACACGCGCACACACAGACACGCAGGCGTGCAGATACACAGACACGGACACACGCCAGACACGCAGACACTCAGACACGCAGACACGCGCACACACAGACACGCAGGCGAGCAGATACACAGACACGGACACACGCAGACTCACAGACACGCAGACACGCAGACACGCACACACACACACAGACGCGCAGACGCGCAGACATGCAGACACGCGGACACACACACACAGACACGCACTGACACGCAGACTTGCAGACACACAGACACGGAGAGACACGCAGGCACGCAGACGAGCAGACACACGCACGCACACAGGCGCAGACGCGCAGACATGCAGACACAGACACACACACACACAGACACTCAGACGCGCAGACATGCAGACAAGCAGACTTGCAGACACACAGACACGGAGACACGCAAAAGTGCAGACACCCAGACACGCAGACATGCAGACGCGCAGACACCCAGACATATAGACGTGCAGACCCACAGACGCGCAGACACCTAGACGCGCAGACACGTAGACATGCAGACACACAGACACGCACACGCGCAGACACCCAGACACCCAGACACGCAGACACAGCAGACTCCCAGGCACGCAGACGCGCAGACATGCGCACACGCAGACACCAGACACGCAGACACACAGACGCGCAGACACACAGACACGCAGACGCGCAGACACACGCGGCGCTTGAGACAGAGGCCGATCATGCCACTCCATTCTTCACTGAAAGATTCCCCGAGTTTGTCAAGGGGCGTGCAGCGACACCCATCAGATTGACCCCAATTTTGCCTTCATTCCAGAGCACGAGCGACAAAGGGGCCAAGCTGCGCTTGAAGGACTTTGGAGTCGACGTCTTTCCAATGGTTGTCAATCATTCATCCATCTACCTGGGCAATAAACCGGACCTGATGCTACGTGGAAGCTATAAAAAGAGACTTGAAGATGGCGAGATGGTAACGAGAAGAGCATGTCTTTCATGGTCCATGCTACGCATGACAAAGAGCTGTTAAACATCCTCCAGGATGGCCTGAAGCCTGGCAAGGTGGAGCTCGACGAGGGCTGTTGTGGTGGAGCAGTTTGACCATGGGCCTCTCACCAATGAAAGTTGTAGTGGTGACTCGTCCGTCCAGTTGCGGGTCTTTTGTCAGGCTGCCGAGGCTTGCAGCCAGAGCTCAACATAAATGATGATTGACGTTTGGTGTCTGAAATGCGCTCAAGGGTCGGCTTGATGGCTTGGAGGAGTGAACCCAGGGTCTTGACGTATGCTCTGATCTTCTTGATGTTCGACCAGTTCGTGGTGCGCTGGCTTCCGACGGGAAGCCTGATTGGGAGCCTGACTTTGGCTGTTGTTCGCGGAAGTCGTGCGAGGTTCGAGTCTCACACATGGCAAGGGCATCCTGGCAAAGTAAACTGATCCATGATCGCCTGATAGCCAAGCTTGGCCTGATGCGTGTCTCTCTCTCTCTCTCTGTCACGGTCTCGCGAAGCATTTGGTCTTCAGGGTCTCGGCGATGTCCCCGATGTTAGGGTGTCATCACCAGTCCCTTTTTGCTGATGTTGCAGAGGCGTTGTCCTCATTTGTTTCCTCCGCTTCTGTGGAATGCCTTTTCTTCCGGGTAGGTCTTCCGTGAACTCCCCAACCTTGGCTGCGTACTTTTCGGCCTCACGTTTGTTGAAGTTGGTCTTGGGGAGAACGGGGAATGAAAGTGGCTTGTTTGTCTGATCTGCGTGCCATGATGGAACTGCTGGACGGAATGGTCTTCTCGGTGATGGCCGTCCTTGATGTTGTAGTGATTGTCCGGAGTACTTGCCAGGACGATGATCGCATTCCTGCCGCGCGGACTGAAGAGCCCCTGAAACTGATTGTTCGGATCATGACGCATCAACGACGCCGACCCGTTTTGCCGCGCAAGTCGACCAGACAATTGAGCTCATGCGTCCATGATGAGCCAACGTTGGATCCACACGTGGAGAGTTCAGATGCTATTTCGGCGCCGCAGATGACAATGAAGACAGTGAGTGCCTCAAGCCGACGCCGGATTGCCTCGCACGCACAGGTCCGTGGAGGCGCAGGACGACATGGCGTCGCAACTTCCACCAACAACCGTCGTTGCGAATTATGGGCCGAAAAATCAGTGAAATCGTCGCCGCCAATCAGAAGAACGACCCTAATTGTGAGACCCATAAGTCCACGGAGTACATGAGCATGGAGACATGTTCACTGCGCAGGTCTTCCATTCGCAACACTCGGAGAATTCAACATCCGCCCAACTCACGCTGCAAGGATGAATGCGGAGGAAGAACTGAGAGAACGCATCCTTCCACTGGTAGTCAAGTCTCAATGCGATGCGCTCATCCGAGATGCCAACAAGTCTGCCAACATCCACAGCCAGCGCCAACAGGTCTATGCCCGGATGCTGGACTCTTGCCATTCTCCGTTTTCGAATTAGGATACAGTTGCAATTAGTGGTGTGCAAATCCTGTAGATGTGAGACATATCCAACAGTCACAAAAGAGGCATGTTCAAAATCGATCTAAATGTTTTTGCGAATGGCTACGGCGCATATAAGATACGGCTCAGTAGTTCGACGCCAAAATTCCTGTTCTCTGTTTTCCAGAACACTGACCTTATGGCGATCATAGTTTCACACATGTAATCACTAAGGCCCGTCTTTGTAATAGCGGAGCACTCATTGCGCTCGCCATAGAGCTGGCTGCACTTCGCTCCCAATTGATCCATCAAACACCAGGTTCTTACCTGAAGCAGGTCCAGGGCGCAGAGACTGCTACCACACATTCGGGCCTTCTCCACCCGCCTGGGCTGCTTCGCTGCGAGGTCTTGTGTTGTGCTCCATGCGCAGTGGGCTTTGCGCGTGACTGACCGTTGCCCACACGCCTTCGCAGGCGCATTGCGCACACACGCATGCAAATCCGTGGCCTCCGAGTGCGAAGTCACGTCAGCGCTCCAAACCTCGGACCTGAACCCCTGTGCAACACGCAGCTGACTTGAAAGAACACATCGCTTCAAACCCTGAATTTCGACCCCCTGTTTTCAGACCCGAGTCCACAGATAAGAGACCCAATTTCTGGCCCCCTCATGGGCCACCTTGTGTTCTTTGGAAGCAGTCGTTCTGCTAGGCCAAAGCCAAGGGGTCAAAATCACCCTCTTAGGCCCCCCCTCTTTTCTTTGGCAAGCAATCATGAGAGTCCAGAAATAAGGGAGCCAAATGTTGGCCCCCCTCACAGCCCTTCCTCGTCTTTTTTCTGGGCCTCTGAGGCCCTCCTCTTTTCTCTTTTCTCTGGTATTCCAAATGTTGGCCCCTCGCCGCCGTTGCTCGTCTTTGGCAAGCAACTGTTACCGAGACCTTTTTGGCCAGGAACTGTCAATCGCGGAATTGGTTGCTTGCCAAAGACAAAGGATGCCAAGATTCTGGACCACTCGGAGGAACCCCCACCTTTTCTGGGCTGCCTTGGGCCTTCGCAACAACTGTAACGCAGGACCGGAAATGAGGAACTATTTTTGTCACGTAATCGTTACTCGAGCTTTAAAAATGGAATAGGTCTGCGAGGGCCAGTTCATTTCGACGCACTCCACTTTGGGACGTCTCCGCAAGGGCTAGTATTTGATACTCGCAGGAGGCATCTCTTGGCCATGGCAACCTTGACAGTTCGCCGAGCCACTTTTGCTTGGGAACAAGGCCCAAGACGCACGAAAACACAAAAACCGATGTTTCTGATCATGGATGGCGGCTTGAATTCACGCTGTTTACAGGCGCACGGTGACAACCGAGCTTTTGGGCGCTGTGCCCTGACACACGTTTGATCAGCCGGACAACTGCGATCTATCATCTCAATTCCCTGACGATAAGTGCAGAAGCCATAGCTCAAGGACGGCAATTGAACGCGTGATTGTGTCAATCTGGGCCCAGCCGCCATGGAAACAAAGCAGCTGGCCGACGACCCAGCTAGCATTGCCGATGGGGTGGGCGACTTTTTCGAGCGGAATCCAAATCCTTGTTTTGACCTAAATCACTCTGTGCGGCCCAAATGTTCAACCAGATGAAGATGTGTGAGAATTACCTTGACGAGGCTGGACAGATTCTACTCGCCAAGACTTCTTCATCTTCATTGCGACGTGCGGCCCTCAACACAGGACAGCATTGGGTGGGGGGAGGGGGCGGGTTGTCAGAATTGGCTGGTACGCCTCAAGAACCTGATTGGCTCACATACTGCCCTGCAACTTCACTCGGACTTCAAAATGGGCTGAGGAAAGGATCGGCTCAAAACCAGTCAGCATCAGCCTTGTAGTTTGTGTCTCCTGGCTATGGGTCACATCCCTGGCTTTTGGAGTCGCAAATGAGGAGCTCAGCGACGCGTCTTGTGCGTTGTCTTTGCGAGCAGAGAGACAGATCCCACTTCAGTCCTTCGGCGGGCCAATCATCGAAGACGCAGAAGATCACCAAGTGTCACAGGTGCTCGGCTCAAAGGGCGAGAAGCCTTGCACGAACGACTGCCGATGGGAAATCTTTGAGCAGCCTTTGTCGCATTTTGATCCTACAAATCTCACGTTCAAGCAACGAGTCTGCATCTATGATGGCTACGTCGATGGGGATGGCGGACCAATCTTCTTCTACCCCGGGAATGAGGCAGCAGTCGATCTATATGTCAACAACACCGGCCTTATGTGGGAACTTGGGAAAGAGATGGGCGCGCTGCTTGTCTTTGCAGAGCACCGCTACTTTGGCCAGTCCTCGCCCAAACTGACTGGAATGAGTGGTTGCTTGAAGTACTTGACTTCCGAAGAGGCAATGGCAGACTTTGCCAAGATTGCGTGGAGTCTCACGCGCGTTGCAACAGAAGACGGGAGCCATGTTGCCTCGCCTTCCAAAGTTGTGACTTTTGGGGGCTCCTATGGTGCGCTGCTCTCTGCCACAATGCGTCTCAAGTACCCTCATTTGATTTCGGCTGCAATCGCATCGTCCATGGTTGTCAACCAAATGGTCAACACACCTCGGGAACAGTGGGGCAATTTTCAGAGGATTCGCAAAGGAATGGACCTGGTGCCGCACTGCGCAGATGGTATGTTGGCAGCGACGACGTTTCTTTACGATGCTTACTTGCACAAAAAGGCCTCACTGATTACTCCTGCGCTGAACGCTGCGCTGCCAGGCCTTTGCAGGCCACTGGAAAGTGAAACCGATATCTACTTTCTTGCCATTTGCCTTCAAGGAAGGCATGAAAAGCTGGCGCAGTCTAGCTATCCTTTTGAATCCGACTACCTGAGTGCTGGATCTTACTTTGGCAGTACTGTTATGCTTCCTGCGTATCCACTCCAAGCCTTGTGTGAGAAGTTCAACGAGACGGCGGCAGCAGTCAATATCACGGGCGACACGGACAGTCTCAGGTTCAAAATTATGATGAATCGCCTGATGGTAGAGGTAGATTGGACTGCTACCAAAGCCGATTACTCAGCTGAGGAGTTCAACAAGAGTGGCGTGCCTGAATTGGTTGCTGCCATATTCGGGGCATATGAGAGCATTTGGCAACATGACCCATTTACTTACAATTGCCCAGAGTCAAAGACAAGCACTTCTTCATCATCACTCGGCGAGTTAGCCAGCATGCAAGGGCCTGACGATGTTTGTACAAAGGAGCTCCCTGACGACGGAGAGGCCTGGCAAGTGCTGGTCGTCAACGACCTACACTACGCTGCCTCTGGGCCACCAACCGGCTTGGTGTATGCCCTACCTCCTCTGGGCTCGAACCGCGACTGGACAGTCAAGCAGCTGATTCAGGAGCAGGCAGAACGCGGAGAGAAGAACGTCCGAAGATGGGCGAATTCTGGGCTTTTCGGGGCGAGGCCGGGCAAACTTGATTTGTACGCCGACGAGTTCAAGAGCAGTCTCAAGAGCATGGTTGGCGAAATGTCGAATGTGTTCTTCACGGTTGGAGAGCTGGACCCCTGGGGGGGGTCTGGCCTCACAGAAGACATGGCCCTGCAGAATCCGTCCAACAGGTTTGCTTTGATCAAGCGGGGAGGGCATCACGTCGACACGTTCTTTAGCACCGACCAAGACTATGAGGAACTCCGTCAAGTCCGGGAGGATGAGAAACAGTTCATCAAGGACATCATCGATGGAAAGTGAGGTGCGCAATTGATTCTCAGCATCTCGCCAGCTATAAGGAGGCGCGGAAGTTGAGGAACACTTCCGTCGCGCAATGCCGGCGTCATTGCGCGCAGCGTGCTAAGCATGTTCCACTATAATAAGGATTCCTCGGAAATTGAGGACCACTTCCCGAATTTGTCATCGCGCAACGAGCACATGGAGAAAACAAGGGGGGGACATTCCGTTTCTGCTGGCAGCTTTTGGGTTCTTTCCAGCAATTTCGGGGACCTTGGGCATTCCGATGCGTAGGTGCTCCCAGGCGGATCAGCTGCCCGTGTCGGCGTGCCGCTGGAAACTGAGTTGCAGTGAGTCAAAGGGAGCGGGAGGCGTTTTCTGGCCGGTGATACCATGGGGTCGCCGGAAGACAACACATCTTCCGTCAAGGCCACCTTTTTGTTTTTTCTTTTCTTCCTTTCCCTTTTTTTTTCTTTCTTCTTTCTCTAGGAGCGTTTATGGCGGACCTTTCTTTTGCGGTGTTTGACTTTCAGGGAGAAGGGAATCAACCAGGGTTTTGGGACTGACTAAACAGTTTAGGATCCCCTGAAAAGACAACACAAGGGATGATTCAGTTCAGAATCATTTCCTCATTCCCTACCAAGAATCAGCAAGTTCTTACTGGTCGGAACTCTCCAAAATGGTTGGCAGGAATGGGCGATCCAATTCAGCTCGGTATTGAAGAGACCCATTTGGTCCCCAGAAAATGAACTGCCCAGTTTGCCAGGTTTTTGCTGCGCATGGGGCGTGCCGGCCGAGGATTGCAGTTCATGCGGCTTGAAGTTCAGGTTCCGTGTTTTGTTGATGTGGGTGTGTGTCAAATTGGGGATCCCTAAGAAGATGGTTTCTCCTTTAGTCGTCCTTTAGAACGACCCAAAAAGGGTACCCTCAAAATGAGACACACCCATGTGTCAGAGGCACATGATATCCTCAAGCTGCCCACAGCCCAGCTTGCAGGTCTCTTCGAGGTCAGGCGATGAGGTTCTTACCGCCTGCAGAAAAGAGGAAGGCCCCTCGGGGTTGCATGCGCTACAAGGTCGCAAGGCATCTTCCACAGCTACGCAAATCGTGGCACTGGAGGGATGTTGTTTGTGTGGCTCTGAAAGCTGCAGACAGCATTTTTTTAAGTAGTTGCACATGGCCTACGCATTTGAAAGAAACGCATGCACGCAAGCACAAACGCACAACCACAGTTCAACCCAACCAAAACAGGAGAGGTTACCTTCACGCAAGAAAAAGGGGGAATTTGTGGATGGGGCGGATGGGCCCAAGGGCGTCTCACAGAGACCAGGTTCACAGGGTACAGATGGAGACTTGCCATGGCAGCGGCCGGAGCTGCCAAAGGCCCGTCCACAAAAGTCGGGAGGGATGAGCGCAAATGCGCTCCCCTTGGGTGCACAGCTTGACATGACTAGAGCACAAGATGCCCCAAGCCGATTTCTCAGTCACGAGGTCCCAGATATGTTTTAGGGTACCCGTTTCGGGCTTGAACGAACCATTTTGACACCAACCTGCATTTTGCTCCGGACTCTCTTTTCGAAGCGGTACGTAACACCAAAGATCCAATCCGGGGATTGCGCCGCAAGTTGGGTGACCTGGGTCCAAGAGGGTCTGCAAGTTTTCATCCGCCTCCTTTGATCGATAGTCGCTCTTCATGGGGGATCATGGGGGTTTCATGGCTTTGGGAATGGAAGCGCCAGGATCGGTGCCGGCTCAGGCCAGCGGCATTGATTTCCATGGCTTTTCCAGCACCAAATCTCTGAAAACGTCGCCACATGCCGTGATGTTTCCACTGGCATCACTGTCAGGGCGATGCCCGTGCAGCCAACAGAGGAAGCAGAGATCCGGCTTTCGAAGGATACATGAGGCCAGCTCGGACTCAGATCCCAGTTTGGATTGTTTGGACGCCAGAGGCAGCTCAAGCAGCGCCAGCGGCTTGCGGATAAGGCTCAGGCGGACTCAAGAGTTCGCGGTTCAGATGATCCGTTTCATGTGTTTCGCGCGCAGGTGGCATTTGGAGAGGCGCGTCTCGATGGACCGCTCATGCAGTGCTTTAAGATGGTCTCGGCAGGGCGATTTCTGGGCCCGCGTAGATGCCAACATCGGCGCCTTGGCTATGTCGTGTCGTTGGGAACCCCTGATCTGGTAGGAAACCTCTCAAACACCAAGTAGAAACGGCCACCTGATATCATTACCTTTTTAAAAGCGATAAGCGATTGCCGGCATCTTTTTGATTTCATTACCTTTTTCATTATTGCTCTACTAGTTTTTTTTTTTTTTTGTGTTTTTTTTTTTTTTTTTTTTTTTTTTTTTTTTTTTTTTTTTTTTTTTTATATTTATTTATTTATTTATTTTTGTTTTTAAAGTTTTTTCTGTTTCATTTTTTTCGGTTTCTTTTTTTTCTAAAAGCGATTTCTTATTTTTTCTACAAGTATACTAATATTTTTTCCGCGCCAATTTATTCTGTAGAAAAAATAAATAATTTCATAATTTATAAAAAAAACAATAAATAATTTCATATATTTTACTACATTTGTTTTATCAATAACTTTTACTTTATATGTCTACTTCTTTACTACTTACATTTTTATAATTATAAATTCATAATTTTATATTTATATTTTTCTACAAGTATACTAATATTTTTTTTCCGCGCCAATTTATTCTGTAGAAACATTAAAGTAAGTTTAAAACATATATGTCCGAAATAATTTTAATAATATAGCTTATACACCCGTTAAATTTGGTATTGAAATATCTAAATTAGAAGGATTAGACAAAAAAACGGACTAATCGCGGTAATAGTTATGGGTTTGATAAAGAACAGCTAAAAACATACCCAACTGAAAACATATAAGATCGAATTTGTAGAAAATCAAGAAGATAATGAATTTAAATAAGTATTCATACTATACACTATAACACTTTAATCGTATTCATTATTAATAATACATTTTTATAATTTAACTATTATAAACTTATGAAAATATAATATACACTTTTACCTTATTCATTTAGTATAATCTATACACGATTTTTATATCTATACACTAAACTATACACTCCTAAAATAATAGATAAGGTAGATATATATATATATATACTAATATTATATTGATCATACTTATTTAAAATATATATTCTATAAGGTTAGTAGAGTGTATAGAGTGTATAGAGTGCATAGTTACCAGAGGTTGTATAGTGAATTCATGATATAACTTACAAGAAAAAAAATGATTGTTCAATATTACACTTAGCCCAGCCTATACATACACTCAACTATACACTAATTAAATGAATGAGATTAAATAGTTAACTGTGTATAGTGCTGAAACATATTTTCAACCTCAGAATTAAAGATATAACATTATTATTTAATAGTAGAATGATTGCTAGCAATATAACTAAAGACGAATATTTCAGAAGATTAAATGAGGTGCATAAACAATATTTAAGCTATTATTTTGATGTATTTTTTGAAAAAAACTAATGAGGCAAAGATAGAATTGACAAGAATATCATTAGATTAAATTATAACTCGTGGCGAAATGATGGACATTACAGAACTCCACAACAATTTAATAAGTATATTTTAGAGAATAACTACAAACTAAGTAGATCAAATGGAACCATAAAAATCAAAAACATAAAATTCAAAAACGAATTTGAGAATATCAAGAAACATTTAGATTTTGTAAATTTTGTAGCTTTAGATAATCCAACATATTTGTGTCACAATTTACAAATCAAAATTTATGAAAATTAAACGAAGCATATTATTTTGCTACAGAATAAATTGGCGCGGAAAAAGTATAAGTATACTTGTAGAAAAATATAAATATAACACTGTGAATTTATAATTATAAAAATGTAAGTAGTAAAGAAGTAGAAATATAAAGTAAGATTTATTGATAAAACATGTAGTAAAATATATGAAATTATTTAATGTATCGCAAATATAGTTTTCTAAAAATCTTATTACAACTGGTATATTTAATTCTCGCATATCATCATACATATCACTAACTGGTCTATTACTGATAAAATCATAAATTGAAATATAAATATTTTCGAAAAAGTTATAAAATGAGTTTAAATATTCTTCTTTATCTAACTCATTATGTAAATTACTAAACTATTCAGTATTGTTGGCGTATTTTGAAGACATTTCAACGCAGAAGAAACGTCTATCATCATTAGGTATTTTAATAGGGTTATTATTATTTGTTAAAAATATGAAATTACAAGCATCTTTAACAGTATAAGGTTTCATCATTTTATTATGTATATGTGTTTCATTTCTTGTTATAGCATCTTTAATATTTTCATTAATTGTAAATGTATCTTTTCCATTTGTTTCATTTAATACACAAATATTTGTTTTCAATATTACCATTAAATTTTCCAAATATTAAATCTGGACTATCAGTATTAATATAATAATCTTTACCGATTAATTTTTTGAAAAAACTTAGTAAATGTATCTTTTCCACACCCTTGAATACCTTTTAAAACCATTGCTGTATTGGACGTCTTTAATGGATGTTGTATAATATTAGCGATCCATTTATTTATATAATCAAAAGTTTTATTATCGCCATTACATACAACATCTTTATAATGCTTCCAAAAAAAAGAATGTTCATAATTTTTAGTATTAGGTTGTTTTTCAGAATAATAACCGTCAAAAGTATTGTACATATATTCAGGAGTTTTTTCACAAGGTAGAAAATCAAAATTATTATAACTTATATTATGTTCGTCTTTCATCCATTTATCAACAAATCTATATTTTTGAGTTTCACATTTCTTATCAACATCATTATAATATATATTTTCATTAGTATCAGTAAATTCTTTTTTTGTTCGTTCAATTAATTCTCCAGTTTGCTTATTAATTTCAACATATAATAATGGATTTCTAATTTTGAAATTGTATTCTTCAAACTCTTCTTTCATTTCTTCATATGATATAAACTGTTCCACTTGACTATTATATAAATTCTAAATTTAATCCATATTTTTTATAAATAGAATCAGTTAATTCTGTTAATAATTCTGGTTTATAACTTTCTTTAGGTATCATAATTCCGTCATAACATAATACACAATTATTTTTTAAGATAAAACCATTATCGCAACAATAATTATAAACATCTTCTAAGATTCTATTTTCTATTTCTTGTAAATAATAACTAGTTGTTGTAGATTCAATATTTGTAATAATTCTATCTTTCATATTTTCTATAGTTTCTTTCAAATGTTTATTTGAATTAGTTATTAATATTTGAATTGATTTCATTTCATGTTGAAATTTATTAATGAATTTTGATTCTTCTACATTAGATAATTTTAAATCGCTAGCCTACTTATGAAAACTACCACCATACATTAACCTAATAAATAATTGTTTAGCGGCATCTCTTGATACATTATATTTGGCAATAATTAAATTAATATATTAGTCTCTATTTGAAACATATTTAGATAAATATTTAATATTTTCATATTTATTCATTTTTCAAAATTTGTAATAATAAAACTGGATGACAATTAACAATATCTATATCAATATAATAATATTTTGCTAATGTGTGTCTTATTTCTTTCCTTAATGATTGAAGCCCAGCAGACCATCTACAAAAAGTTCTTCCGTAAGAGCATTTCTTTTTATATATTATGGTGCTTTTCATTGCTCTATGTTTTATTAATTGTGCTTTTTCATTTTAATAACCAAACCACGGATCTTTTAATAATAAACTAGAATTAATATAATTGTTAATATAGTTATTCCTTTAAGACCTTTTATACTAATTATTATTTAAATTCAAATTTATACATTTTTTAGTTCGTTTATGTCTTGTTAAACCTTTTAAGTATATTGAAGTTCCACATATATCGCATTCTACCATTTTACATAATTGTTCTTTATAGTTTCCTTTGATAGACTTTATAATATTCTTTATCAGTATATTTGTAATTTTTATATTCTGGTGTAGTGTCTGTATTTTCACTTACTTCGTTTATAGTGTCCATCATTTATTTATTATTTAATATCAGTAATTCTTTAAGACAATTTAAGAAGGTTAATTAAGTTATTTGACATAGTTAATTTTAACATTATATTTACTTTCAATATCTCTAATCGCTTCTCTATATGTTTTCTTCAACCATAGAAATCTGAACGCCCAGAAACTAGGTTTAGTAATATGATTAAAATCGCCTATTGCCTTATGCCTCGTTTCATAATTATGTCTTCTTATTTCTTCTATATGACCTCCGGTGTAATGCTCGTAGCCGGTTGCTCCAAATGATATAATCTTTCCATCAGGAAAGATAGCGTTAAACTTCTTCTGTGGTTTTGTACATTTGTTTTTAATTATTATTTCTTTCATATAACATTATTTAGACTTTTTCTTTTTGTTTATTATTATCTTTATCCTTATCTTCATCTTCACTTTCAGCATCAGTGGGAATAGGCATATCAGTAGGAGGTGCTATTTCATAATTAGCATTTCTTCTGACGATGATGAATTAACAGTATGCGTTGAAGAACTATGAACAGTGATAGGTGGAGAACTATTAACGCTAACAGGGGGAGAAGAGGTTGATAAATCAACCCCGCAGTTGCTTTGCAATGTCGTATTTAACTCAACTTCCTCACTAACATTTGTATTCAACCAATTCATTATGGAAGTCGCTATATCGTATGATGTTACTAATGAATTCATTGTTAATTTAACTAATAACTCGGAACCTTGAATTGTAGTTAATGTAGTGTGATATGTTAAATGTGCTACTATTTGTCCTATACTAAAACCTGACCTCATCATAAATTCTATAATCCTCATCAACATAAATAATTTCTTTCTATATTTATCAATGTCATCATCTTTTTTTTATCATCATCATCATCGTCATCATCATATAAATCAGGGTCATATGTAAATGCTAATGCTTCTGCTTCAGCCTTGGTTATCAATTTGCTTTTGAAACTCTTTGAAGACCCACCTAATATTTTTGTCTCATCATCAAAATTATAAGTTTGTGTCGCTTTATCATTTGGTAGGTCTGTTTGTGTTGCCTTGTTTTCTTTGTTAAGCGT